TAGCCTAAGAAACTGTACCTATAATTAAGTCTCCTGTGTTTTCAGGAGCAGATAGGAGAGTCAGTTGCTGAAGCCACTAATCCTCATGCCTTTTTCCTCACTCTGACCAATTCATCAGCAACTTTACTGCCCTTACCCTGCTGAAAAGTTATGCTGTTAGCATTTGTCTCTCCAGGTCCACTACAGTAAACTAATGGGCCTCTCCATCAACTCTTTTGTCCTCAAACTCTTTTCCACCAGCTTCAAGAGCAGTGTTTTTAAAATGTAAATCCCAAAAGTAAGACAATTAGACCATCTTTAAAAATATCTGCAATAGACTGAAACTATATTAAAATTAATTAATTCATAATGATACTAGAATAAAACCCCCTCAGAACCACCTTAGTCTTTTAGAGGATGCTAGGTCAAGTCAATTCTTGAATTTGGAATAATCATAAAAAAGCAATTTTTGAATTTGGAATTCAATATGGATTGCATATTGCATGTTCACAACAATAAGACTAGGTTTCTGTTCTCAACAAGAAACCCAGAAGCCAGAAAGGTTTTTGACCCGTTAAAACAATAGTCTTAAGTAAATCCATATACTTAACTCAGTAGGAAGTACTTAGTCTTTTAGAGGATGCTAGGACAAGTCAATTCTTTATTTTTATATAGTCCTTCCTTGACTTAAAAGGGAGCTATATCCTTGCTCAGAACACTTAAATTAGCCTACAGTTCAGCAAAATTATCTAACATTAAGCCTACTTTATAATAACGTGTTGAATATCTCATAATTTATTGAAGACTATTGAAACTGAGAAACAGAATGGTTGTGTTGGGTGGTTTACCCTGCGATTGCCTGGCTGCTGGCAGCTGTGGCTGTACTGCCCAGCATCATGAGAGCATTATACCACATAGCACTAGCCTTGAAAGATCAAAACTCTTTTAAATATGGTTTCTCCTGAATGCATACTGTTTTTACACCACTGTAAAGTTGAAAAATCATTAAGTCAACCCATTTGAGGGAAAAGACTATCTGTGCTAATGAATGAAGTGAAAGAGGCATTTATCCTTTTTTTTAACAATAGAAATTTAACCCCAAATAACCAAGTTATTGATGAATGGGAGTATATAGAAACATTTCAGCTAGTAAGTGAGAGTATCAACATTTTTCAACCCATGAAATACTATTTCTAGGCAATGATCATCAACAGTTAATACCATAAGAAAAATAACCAGAGATTTGGCAGTACCTAACACCACTAAAAAGAATCCCCTCGCCCCATCCCCCAAACCACACCTTAATCTGACTGGTTCTCTAAGTCAGTTTATAAGAAATACAAAATTCAGGGAAATATGTTAAATTGCAGTCAGCAAAATGCAGAATGTAGGAGACTACAGGATAAATAATCTGGTTTCTTCAATAAATAAATTGCAATGAAACAACAAAAAGGGAGGGTAAGGAAACAAGGGTGTATTAGAGGTACGCCAACCAACTGCACTGTGTGGGCCTTAGCTGGATCTTGATAAGAACAAACTAGAATGAAAATACAAAATAATGGGAAGACATTTGGAATTAACAGTCATTTTGTGTGATATTTTTCTGAAGTCCTTATGTTTTAAAGATATATTTGGAGACATTTCATATGAAATTTTTCATCTGGGATTTGCTTCCAAATAGTCTGGTGGGGGAAGATACATGAAACAATTGTTGAAGCTGAGTGAAGAGTTAATAAATATCCTTCTAAACTATTTCAAAAAAATAGAAGAGGAAGAAATGCTTCCAAATTGATTCTATGAGACCAGTATTACCTGATAAAAAACCAAAGACACTACAAAAAAGAAAATTTCAGACCAATATCTCTGATGAACATAGATGTAAAAAAAGATATACAGATCAATGGAACAGAACAGAAAGCCCAGAAATAAACCCACACTTAAATGCATCAATTAATCTCTGACAAAGGAGGCAAGAATATGCAATTGTGCCAGTCTATTCAGTAAATGGTGTTGAGAAATTGGACAACTACATGCAAAAGAACTGGACTACTTTTTTACACTACACAATAATAAACTTGACATGGATTAAAGACCAAAATGTAAGACCCAAAACCATGAAACTTCCAAAAGAAAACATAGGCAGTAAACTCTTGGACATCGGCCTTACCAATTTTTTTTTTGCATGTCTTCCTATGCAAGGGAAACAAAAGGAAAAATAAATAGTTGGGACTATATTAACTAAAAAGCCTTTGCACAGCAAAGGAAACCATCAATAAAACAAAAAGACAACCTACTGAATGGGAAAAGACATTTGCAAGTGATATATCTGATAAGAACTTAATATCCAAAATACATAAAGAATTCATACAACTCAACACCAAAAAAAGATGTCTGATTAAAAAATGGGCAGAAGACCTGAACAGACATTTTTCCAAAGAAGACATTCAGATGGCCATCAGACACAAGATGTTCAATGTCAGTAATAATCAGGGAAATGCAAATCAAAACTGCAGTGAGATACCACCTCATACCAGTCAGAATGGTTAAAAGACAAATAACAAGTACTGAGAATGTGGAGGAAAGAGAACCCTCATGCACTGTTGATGGGAATGTAAATTGGTGCAGCCACTCTGGAAAGTATAGAAGTTTCTCAAGAAACTAGGAAATACCATGTGATCCAGTAATTTTACTTCTGGAATTATAGAAAATGAGAACAAAATCACCAGTTTGTAAAGACATATGCACCATTTACAATAGCCAAGATACAGAAGCAACCTAAGTATCCATCAGTAGATGAATAGATAAAGAAGATGTGCTCAGCCATAAGAGAATGAAATCTTGCCATTTATGATAACATGGATGAAACTTAGAGGCTATTAGGCTAAGTGAAGTGAGTCAAATACCATATGATTTCACTTATTTGTATGTGGACTCTATGAACAAATGAACAAACAACAAACCCAGAAAAAGACTCACAAATACAGAGAACAAACCTGTGGTTGCCTGAGGGGAGGCAGGTGGGGCCTTAGACAAAATAGGTGAAACTGATTAAGAGGAACAAATTTACAATTATAAAATAAGTCAAAGGGATGAAAAGTACAGCACAGGGAATAGTCAATAATATTATAGTAACTTTGTAAGGTGACAGATGGTAACTACACATTATGTTAAACATTCTTTAATGCATATAAATGTGAAATCACTATGTGGGACACCTCAAACTAGTATGTCAACTCATATAGATGGGTTCTTTATACTATTCTGCTTACTTTTAATGTATGTCCATAATTTCCCCTTAATAAGATAAAGATAAATTAATTAAACTTCAAATAATTGCTATTGAATTTAGCTCATACCTTGGCCTATGAAACCACTGCCTACTTCTCTACCCTGGTCTTAGAATCCTTTACTTCCACCAAGTTTTGTCTGCCCCAGGGTCTTTGCTCATACAGTTCCCACTGAAGGGAGTGCTCTGCCTTCTCACCCCCTTTTGACTGTCTCTGAGCATCCCTTTCTGGCTTAATCAGCATCTTGTAGGAGGTCTTTCCTGACTACCCGAAGGTTGGACTTTCCTGCTAATGTCAGTGTACCTTCTTTAGCATAATTTTTAATTATATTAGTTTCTTGAATATAAACAATTATGTGTTTTGTATGCTTCTTTATTTCTATTTCCTGTCCCTTGTGTGATGGTAGATACTCAGTAAGTGCTTGTTGCATGAATTATTCAGCATTGTCAGTCTTAACTGTTGTGTATGTCAGCTGAAATTGTGTTTGATGTCAAATGAAGATAACTGAATAAATACTTTGGTAGATGTTATTTCTGGAATAAACTTGAGTGTTCCCTTGAAACCAGGCATATCTTTATTACCACTGGGATTGTGAAAGCAACATGGGGCTGAAATGACCTTTGAAATTATATACTGACAGGTTGTCCAGAAGTAAAGGGTCATTCGTATGACTTGTAAAATATACTGTAATTAATTAAATTTCAGTTTAGCCAGATTTTTCTAGGTACTGGATTCTCATTGGAAGAGTTTAGTTCATACCCTGCAGTTCAGAGAGTTTTGGACTAGCAGTATCATGAGAGCTTTGCACCACAGCACCTGCCACCCAGAGGCACTTTAAACTGTCGTTTGGCAGTGCTTCATGTACCTGAAGATCACAGCGACTCATTTTCCACCAGGCCAAATAATGGTAGCTTATTTTATCTTCAGAAATCACTTAATATTTCACAATTTCAGGTAAATCCTCAGGTTCCTCTTGAGCTCCTGGGGTGACCAGCCTCCAAGGTGGCCCCCAGTCACCCTTTCCTCCAGGTTTCCACACTCCTGTGTATTCACACTCACACCCGTACTCAACACGGCTGACCTGTCCAACTGACAGGATACTAAGGAAATACAGAGGGTGATCTTGACGGTTAGGTCATAAAGCTGCTGCAGCCCTGCCCTGCTACCTCTCAAGTTCTTCTTGTCCCGGGCTTCTCTCCCCTCTTCCTCAATAGAATGATTACTCATGTTAGTTTTACAAGGCCATTGCTGCATCCTACCCTTCCCTGGCTTGCCATCCTGCAGCCTAGGATCGTCTGTACATTTAGTAAATAGACTTTATACTTCTATCATTTTAAGTTATGGATAAAAACACCAGAAGCCCAATGTTCCAACACTGGTTTAACAGCTGTGAAATGCAACTGTTGATCCTTCACAGACTGCCTACGAACCCACAATGATTTTAAGGTTACAATATTCTAAAATCTGAATACTCAATAGGCAGCAGCAGTGTGGGCGGCAGATGACATAAATGAGATCTCACTTTCCCCCACCTGTCAGATCCACCACCATCACTGGAGAACACTAGATTTAAATCTCTCTAGATAGCTACAAAACTGATCTGCAGAGCTTATTATTGTAGCAGCAAGTTTTATGCTGGTTTTAAAAATAATGACAAATTCTATAAATTATAAAAAATTCCCTATAACATTTTTTTTTTCGGGGGAGTGGGAATCCTTAATTAGACAACCAAGGTATAGCAATAAATCTTTATTTTTCATACAAGGTGTCACTGCAGGTAACCATCAGAAACCACTGCTGTTTGTAGATACACAGAACTGAACAAAGCATTTCAGCATGCTGCCATAGCAAACCGGTGAACAACTTCAGACGCTAAGACTCAGAAAGAAAAGGGGTCAACGCCATTTGCTGATATATTTATGAATCACTAGCAGTATTATTACAGGCTGTCTTCACCTGAAAGCAGAATTACAACCACTCTGGCAGCCTCTGGGCAATCCTAAAATGCAGGTCTCATGATGGGTACAAGCAAGCAAGCAAGAGACAGATGCCCTGTCCCGTTGTGAAGGGAAATGGACTTGGAGCCTGGCTTGGCACATTTAAGTTGATAGAGCCACCTTACTAGTTTAGGAGTGCGTTTCCCTTACCGCATATGCTGGCAATCAGCATAACCATTTCTGAAATGTTAGCTGAACAAGCCCAGGGTTAAAAAGCACAACACCATCCATACCACAGAACTGCTGCTTCACCATTTTTGCCCAGTTCTCACCTGTTGCCCTGCAAAATCCCCTCATCTGATGACTTTTCGTGAAAGCCTCTAGCAACCATAACAGACCTTTCTTAACCCAGCTCTAGGTACTAAGTATCAGAAATAAGTGCCTGTGAAGGGATGTGTCCATAGGAAAATGGCAGTGTGTCTACTGGAGGTAAGTGTCAAGTTTCCTCTTGATGTTGTCAAAGGAATCTGCTCCCATGTAATCAGCCTGGCCCTGTTCCCAGCGCTCCTTCCGTTCTTCTGAAGATACAAAAGGCTGTGCCGTAGCTGGGCTCTCTCCGAGGGACAGATGGGATACAGCTCCTGAGACACCTTCCTAGAAGGAGAGCATAATCAGAGACTTCTTGAGAGCTGAAAATCAGACCATTTGAAAGAATGCAATAAATTGAAGACGGTGAGAAAAGCCAGGATGAATTATCATGCAAAGTAGCAAAAACTGAAAAGCATTACATGAAACAAACAAAAAAAGACATGGAAATACAAGGGTCATATGATTTTTTTCCTAACAAAATGAAGACTTCTTGACTCAGTGAAAACATTGGGAGAACAAAGTAATTAGGGTTAATGTTTAAGTTCTGCATACCTTTCTACAGAAGCCACAAGAGAAAGCCAGTGTATAGACCAAGTCTGAGAGCTGCAAACAGTTCATTAGAAAGTGTAAGATGGATGGACAAGGGAACACAAGTCTCACGATAAATTCTCAGTCTGTGTGGGCTCAGAAAGGTTGAGAACTTAAACAAAAAGATACCTCAGAGGCTAAGCTTCAGAAAGAACCTAACCAGAGAGCCGCACCACATACACAAGTTGTTGCATTATAAAAGCGAGAGCTAAATGGTTCAAGACTATGGACCAAACTTATTTGCTGTTCAAGCTTATTACCAAGTAGCATCTATTCTTGTAGCTTCTGTTAATTTAATTGCTTAGTTTTTGAACAACTGTTTCAAGTCCCATCTTTACCTTTTCTTGGTTCATAATTCTTAGTCCTTGGGTTGCAGAAAGAACAAGGTACATGTGCAGGAAATGGAGCAAACCTACTTTACATTAAATTTGATTCTCATTACACACAGATAGGCAATTCCCTTCAATTGTACACATAAGAATATCAAAGCTATCTATCCTTCAAAAGGCTCTGAGAAGGTACTAGAAATCTTAGCACAGAAAAAGGCAGGTGAATGAATATATATAGGTATTGCTTTAACAGAGAAAATGGTAAAACAAAATTTTTGATTACCTGTTTTTGTTGCCATATATATGCAGTGTATATATATATATATGTACATATGTATTTAAATACACAGGAACTTCAGGGTATTTCCTGGGATTGTATTAGAGCTGATGCAAGTTTCCTTTAATTAGCCCTGCCTTTGCCTTCCTCTTTCAATAGGAGAGACATAAGGGGCTCTTCCAGAGTCCCCTGCTCACAGTATTTTCCTAAGGTAACAATCTCTCAGCCCAGTGGATTTGAGTCCCGGTCTGCTATTGACTAGTCTGTTACACAACTAAGAGAGGTTATGTAACTTCTTTGTGCTTCAGTTAGTTTTAAGATATAAAAAGGGGATATTAATAATAATAACTTTGGTAGAGCAGTTGTATGAGTTGAATAAGAAGTGCTAACTTTTCTTAAGCCCTTACTATGTGCCAGGAAATGTCCCAAGTATTGTACGAGTATTGTTTCATGATCACATAAAGCAATTAGAATATTCCTATTCTAATAAGAATATAAGTGTATTTTCCCCTTTCTCCTTTTTATATTTTGGTAAGAGTGTTAGTAAGTGAAATGGCTAAAATTTATACCATAGCAAAGAGAAGGATCTTCTTATAATATCCTAGTCTCTTACAGCAAAATAACTAGTCAGTTAGACTTGATTATAATTCACCCATTCAGTTCTATTCTTTTATCTTAATATGTAACACAAAAGTTTAATGTTATCATCTTCCAAAGAACAAACCTCAGAGGAAGACATTTAAAGTCAAAAAGGACACTAAGCAGGTTGTTACTGTAAATGTTAATGTGTCATCTTCTTCCAAGGAGGCTTCTTTTTCAAGATCATATGTAACCATAAGAGTACAAACATGCTAACCAAAATACTCCTAGGAAAGTATTTGTTGTATATTCATCTCATTGAAATTTTTACTGAAAATATATTCTTCTAAGCAGATGGCAAAATAAAATCAATATATCTAAATGTCTGCAGTTCTAAAACAGGACATGGGATATTCTTTATTTTTATAAACTACTAGTTTAGGAATAATACCAGAATCTTAGGACAATGGGCTGAGAACTTTATAGTTACAAGATACAGATATATATAAAAACTTTAAAACCCTTTTGTATGCTCTCAGACTTCAGGAAACTTGCCACAAAATCTATTTCTGCTTTAGTCTTTGCTGGTAATATTTCTCCCTCTAAGATGGACACAGTTTTCTTTCCAAAAAATGTATCTCTTTGTTTAAAATACCACTAAATACTTCGTCTCTATCAGTATACCAAGTTAAAACAAACAAACAATTAAATTGCCTGCAATAAAAGAAACAGAACCTACCACACTTAGGCATGAGCTGGCGTCTTTGACAAGGCCAAATTGTTGAAGCAGAGGTAAAACCTTGGCTGCGAAGATGCCCCACCACAGGCTGAGAAACTCTGGATGAGTCACGTTGGGATCGTGGGGCTCACTTCTGACACTTTTTGTTTTTGGATCATAAGCGTAACTCCATGGTTTGATTCGTCCCAGGAAATGCACAACTTTGGCGTTTGCTCCAAATCTGCCAAGTGAACACACATGGCAACAGTTAGTGGATTCTGAGCACTGACAAAGGCTGAGCAGCACTTTGACCGGCAGCCTCCACACTGCACCTCCCGTCCTGTAGAGGGGGTGGAAAAGAAAGCAAACTCACTGAAAAAAGCTTAGACATATCTTTAAAACTATTCAGCTGTATGTTAACACATCCACAACAATCCAAAGGTGGTGGCAGATCAGTGCAACAACTAAACACCAGTCCACTGGGGACAGGAAAAGACAGCCACGTGGAAAACCATTTAATATTGCCTAGCAAAGGTGGAAATGTGCATGCTCTGCAACCTGAAAGCTCAGCTCCTTGGCATATGCCCTGAAGGAACTCTTACACATGTGCAACAGGAGACATAATCAAAATGGTCACAGTGGCAGCACTGTCTGAAATAGTCTTCAGCCAGAAACAACGCAAACGATGGCGTTAGGTTAGGTTACTATTCGGCAAATGTTCACCTTTTCCCAGGCTCTGCAGGGAAAGCACACTCCCCTGCCTTGCTGATACTGGGTATGCACACAGGACCTGCCTTAGCCAGTGACATGGGGCCAGAGGTGACAGTGTATTTTTAAACAGCATTGCTTGTTTCTGCTCACCCTCCCTGAGAGGCTGCACCTTCTGGATAATGTACCTTGGGCAGCCTGCTGGTTCTAGAGCGATGAGACATATGGTGCAGAGGTGGATCAAACCCGAGGCCAGGCACCAACCCCAGCTGAGATTATCAGAGCTGTCCCAGCCTATCCACCAACAGTTGAGCAGGATATACATGCTTATTGTTGAATGTCACTGAGATTTTATTTGTCCATTCTGTTTTTTTAAAGGATGACTTCTGGTAATTTCCTATCATGAAATACAATATAGCATGAAAAATGAGTGAACTACAGCTACACACATCATGTAGCAAATGGATAAACTTTAAAAATATGATGGGGAAAAAAGACAAATTCAAATTAAAACAGACTTACATATGAATCAACTTACATAAGGGTAAAACAAACCAAAAAAAGGACTGTTTAAAGAGTAGTAAACTACAATAAACAAATGTCATGATATTGGTTATCTGCAGGAAAGGGGAAGCTGCGATGGGGAAGGGACAAAAAGGGGCGTCTAGGATCCTGGCTGTATTCTGTTTCCTAACTTGGATGGTGGATATTTTTTTAAAAGCCACATTTTTTGTATATACTTTTTTATGCATGCTGTATTTCACCATAATCCCTCAGAAAGAGTAAGAGTTAAGAGTGGTCCTGTTTTGGCTGGAAAGAAACATGTGCATATAAAACCAAATAATAATAAATGTAAATAGAAGTATCCCAAGGAAGTTGGGGACAGTAAGTGTACAAGGGATTCAGGGGCGGGGAAGTCACTGGAAGCTAAGTTCAGTGGGGCAGTGGGAGTGCATGTGACTTAAATCTTGGACAACAGATGGTTGCTGCGGAGCAGCAGGATGGCAGGTGTCAGGTGAGCACGTGTGTGCAGGACCGGTGTCCTCCGATTATAGCAAAGCTGTGACAAGGAGAGATGAACTGGAGCAGACCAGTGAGTGTTGGGCTCAAGTGTGGAGATTTTAGTGGCTTGATCTGACAGGAAAGCATCTGAGCATGATGTACTGATCAAAATAATCAAACACTATTCATGTAGCCTTTCCTATCTCCTGAAGATTTTTTTGTTTTGTTTTGTTTTAATGTCACAGGCCTATTACACAGCTATCATTATCTGAGAATTTACTATGTTTAGGATCCAGATTTTTTAAGGACATGACTGGAATAATAACAAGTCCTACAAGGCAGGTTTTACTCATGTGTTAACAGAGGCTCCCAAAGGCTAAGTTAGCTGCCCAGAGCCACACAGCTATTAAGTGGCAGAGACAGGATTTGGCACTATTTTGCCTTGCTCAGAAGCCTGAGCCTTTCCCATGCCACCATCCTGCCATTCCAAAACTATGCAAGAATAACAGCAGATTGTAAGAGTACAGGTCATAAGTAAATAGGGAAATTATCTGCTGCTTAAAAGAATATGTTAGCCTAAACAGAAATTTGTGTGTGTCCTTTACAGAAGAGTAACCCAGGATATTTCCCTAGTGATCTCTCTCACCAAAGGCAACAATCAGGTACCAGCCAGAATTTAGGTTGCCTAAAAGCAAAATTGTGAGTAGTTGAATATGAAAAGGAAATTCTGATGTCAGAAGATAAAGTTCAACTGACCTCGACAAGGATAACCAGAAGACTCATTGATTCAGTCCCTGATTTACCTGCCAAAGTACCAGCCAGGACTTAAAAAGAAAACAAACTTGGGTACATATCACAATTGTTTTTAAACTACTGAGAGCCATTCATTGTGACTCAGTAGTGGGGGTTTGTCTCAGCTTGCATACATCTCTTAAAATAAGTGTTCTAATTTTAACTTGATAGAATCTCAAAAGAGACGTCCAGATCACAAGACATAGTTTGAACCCAAGCCAGCAATAATACTGCTTATGTTTGCCATTAAAATAATCCCTGTGATCTGATGTTACCAAAGATCAGATAGAGTTTTCACGACTAGTTTAGCTGTTGAGAAATGTAGCTGGTAATGTGTGGATGACACTACAGAGCTGTTTAGAACGGAAAAGGAACTAATACACGACAGTGCACACAGAGCAATTTTAGCTCTCAGGAAGCTCTTTATGTGCAACATTCAGTGAGGTACCAGGAAGGAGAAGCTGGGCACTGCTCATGTGACCCTTCCTGGGGAGATGAGGCTGCGGTGCCAGCCAGCCTCTGCCCACTTCCATGACTCACAGTCTCTGGTACATGGCTACTTGCTCTTGTACCTTCTCAGACTCACTCTCACACACTAGCCCTACCCCAACACACACACAACCAATCAGCCGCCCTTCCTCTCTCACCAAAAGATTTCTCCTTTCCAACACTCACAGGCTAAGTCAGGAGTCACAGACCCAGGCACCCAAAGGGCGGTGAGGTGGCACCGTGGGGCACAAACAATCGGGTGTCGCATCACCTGAAGAGAACCATTATCCAGCAGCAAATACTGGAGGCCACTGTGGTCCCACTGATTGTCCCTTGCCTTTCAGGCTACTTAATCCTCCCAGTCATGCTCTGGAAGTCAGAACACCATCAGCACTCAAAACCAGACTTTAATAACCTTGAGTAGGACCTAGTCAACTATTAGACCTGTAAGGCTGGCCTGTCTTCACAAAGCAGTCCAGGGAGAGCCCCACAATGCCAGGCCACCAGGGAGACCTTCCTGGGGCAGCATGTCAGTCTTAGCCTCTCCTGGTTGACGACTCACTCATTCATTCAACCAAAAAATATAGCCCCCTCCCTGCACCTATGCGCACACACTCTGCCTCCCTTCGTGACACAAGGATGAACTGTCCCAGCTCTTATCTGAAGCCAGGCTTTCCACTTGTGCCCTAGGACGCATCCCTTCAGCTCCTCAAGGACATCACTCCAGCAAGCCTCCCTCCAGTTTCCTGCATCACCAGGTTCCCTCTCTCTCTCCCTTCCTGATTATTCCCATCAATACACAAACATGCTGTAACTTCTCCCATCTTTAAGTAACAACCACGGCCACTCTCTCTTGATCCTAAATCCCCACCTGGCTACCAACTCTGTTCCCTGTTAAAGAAAATGCCTTACAAGAGTCACCTACATTCCCAGTCTCCAATTCTCCATTCTCTTGGACCCATTCCCGTCAGGCTTTCTCCTCCAACACTCCACCAGATGTGCTCTTGCCAAAGTCACTGGTGGCCTCCACATTCTCGGTCCAGTGCCAATTGGTTCCCAGTTGTCCTCTTACCTGACCTATCACAGCATCTGACACGATGGCCCAATCCCTCTTCCTTGAACATACACTTTGTCTGGCCTGTGCAACACCTCCCTTTCCTGGCTTCCCTCTGGCCTTGCTGTTCTTGGTCTTTTGCCCCATTCCTCCCCATTTTCCTGCCTCTGGGCTCCACCTGCTACCATAACCACTCTCTTGGTTACATCGTCTTGTCTCATGGCTATAAATACCACTTACATGCTGACACTCCCAGTCAGCTCTCATCCTGAACTCGAGACTCTCATCTCCTTACCTCTTCCACATTCTTACTAGGATGTTTAATGCATATCTCAAACCAAACGTGTCCTAGTCTTCACACATTCAGCACACCTTTGGGCATCCCTGCCCCTGCAAGCCTGCTGCCCCGAGTCTGTCCCATATTAAGAAATAGCAACTCTTCTGCTCCAGCTGCTTAGGCCCCACACCTTGACAGGCATCTTCGACACCTTTCTCTCATACCCATCCACTATCTGATTTTTTCAAAAGAAACTGGAAATCTGTGTTTCATGTGAAATTCCCTAATTTTTAAGCATCGACAACTGAGTTAGAAGAAGAAGAAGAAAACTACATGAGGAAGACAAAACAGGTCTGTGGGGCCATTCCTGTGGGTGGCCACTAGTCTGAGACCTCTGAGGAAGGTACGGCCTTCCCTCAATCCACATGCTCTCTGCCTCCCACAAGCTCCCTCTCTGACTGAGACAGCATTCCTCAACCAGACTTCTGCCATGAGATATCCCTCCTTTATGCCCTCTGGGTCTGATGTGGAGGTTTTCCCTTGGTGATGCCAACTGAGGTGGGGCCCTGGAATAGACAGCGGTAAGAGTGGAGGACAGATCATCCGAGAGAGACCAACACTTAGAGATGAGGTCAGAGTGACCAGATGGCCACACCAAGACACAAGGCACCTAGGGCCCATAAGGCATCATGTACAGCCAGAAAGGAAGAACAAGCCACCTATGTAACCACCACGTGATTCTTTTTTAAAGCTCAAACCATGATGGTCCGTGCCATATAGGAACATATAGGAAGCTGCACACTCAGCAGTTATGAAGATGGTTAGGCTGTAGGGCCCTCAGCGAGCAGAATGTGGGCACCCTCTCCACGCTCTGGGACTGCCCACTGAATGAATGAGTGAATGGGCCAACGAAAAGCTGAAGAAATGAGTGATTCAAACTACAGCGCTTCAGGATTTTAGGTGAAGACAAAGGAGTATGAAAAGAAATGAACACAGAAAAGCTACCACAGTCCCAGGGGGAGCTGGAGCTAAGTGTGTCTCAGGGGAGGAAAAAGAATCAAATCAGAAATACGTAAGAATAACAGAATTTAGGACAACAAAGTTTCAATTTCACTTTTGGAAAAAACAATTTTAAAAAGGTTTGGTAAGATCTTAGTGAATAAGCCATACTGAAAAAGAAATAATGGATACAAATATATCTTCAGAGAGTTTAAAGCAGTAAGAAAAAAAAATGGAATGAAAGCTTTTGGGTTTCTAGACCTAAACCATGCCAGGTCTTAGATCTTATCTAAACTCAAGTAAAAGGGTAAGTTAAAATATTTACTTGTAAATTATTTGGTAAATCTTGCTTTGTAGTCAGTCAGTTTGACTAATTAATTTGTATGGCAATTTGAAGCAATTCCACAAACATCCTAGTGAGAATGTGGAGAGGTAAGGAGATGAGAGTCTCGAGTTCAGAGAATTATCTTTGCTTTAGGCCCACTGTATATAGCACAATTTAAACAGCTTTTAGTCACTGATAACAGAAATCTAAAATGGAACTAAATGTTTGGTTTAAAAGAGAAGAATGAGCTTTTGCCTAGCACTCTGCACAAGCCAAATTCCATGCTACGTGGAAAAAATAGGTTCTTCAGACGGAGAAAACTTAAAAGAAACTAATATGGACTAAAAGCCTATTTCCCAAACATTATGCTAGGCACTTTCAAAAATTCTATTTCATTAAGAAATGCACTTAGGAACTTGTTTCTCAATGCATGTATTACGTATTAACTTAGACATTACTAAGGCAAGCATTTTAGTTCTCAAATTATGCTTTGTTAAGGAGGATCTCTACTATAGAAAATAACACTAATTTTGTTTTTCAGAAGCTATGTTAAAGAATTCATTCAAAGTGGTAAAACTATTAAATGTTTCCTTCATGTTTTATTCTATCCAAATGGTATATAAAGAAAGACATTAGATATGTTATGTTCTTGGCTCAAATTCACATGAAGTTTGATTCATATTACACCACCCATTAGTGGAAACTCCAAATAGTAGCAAGGCTACACTGTTCACACAGATATCCAAGGCTCTAAGATTTTGGGGCATCTAATTACTGCCTTGGTGACCTCATGGCTCAGGGTTGCTTGAAGTTTGTAAGACAAGTTCTCAACTCCTTTTTCCATGAAGCCCAAGTTGCTCTAAACCACTCTACGGCTTCTCATTCTACTTGCTGTCAGCCACACTGTCCTAGGGAGCCAGCACCACAGAGCCACTCAGCCCTGGAGGTCAGTCCGAGCCCAACAGTGGGGCTGCACATTAATGCCAAGCTCCCAGAGGTCCACAGGGCTCTCTGTGGAGCAGTTATGGTAGCCCAGATGTTTGCCACAGCCTACCTCAGGTTAAAAGATGTGGGCCATAGTTTTACATTAACTTGAAACAAACAAAATGTTAGCTATCTGCCTTTCAGCCCTTCACAATTTTAAGAAAAATGGGAGGAAAAACGTATCTAGAAATGGATCCCTTCAAGAAAAACAAGTGCCTTTTCCAGCAGAGGGAAGAGCAAATGAGTTCTCTGATCTGCTTTCAACATTCCGAAATAGGGAGCTATCGGGTGAGACAAGGCATCACTCTAAAAAGTCTTATCACAGAAATGGAGAGCTAAAAGCCCCAAGGGCAAGTGGCACAGAGGCAGCATTAACTCTGTCAGGCCCCAGGCCAGCTGACATCTGGCTAAAGGATGGGGTTGCTCCCAACCTCCCCTGTGTCATGTACTCTATAGCTTGGACATAAACCAAGGAGATTTCCAAAATTAGTACTCATTTGTTGAGCCAGGAAGAAGAAACCATCCTAACCGTTTTGGTCATTTAGATCTCAAACTGTTTTTCTGGGAAATTCATTTACAGGATATAAAAACAACTGGGTTCCTGAGAGAGGGGGCTAAAGTTCTAGCAAATAACTTTATCTTCCCTGCAAAAACTTAACTCCGCTCCACCTGCTTCTTGTTCTACTTTGTCAAAATTAAATAAATGCAGGCAGTGTCTGTGCAAACCAGGCTATCACTGAAAGGTACAATGTGTTCAATTTTGGTGGTAAGGTGCAAATCAGATGAAGTCCCAATGAACCACAGGGGAAACAGTTGCTAGGCACTGGGAGCCAAATCACACGAAAAACATGAAGCTTTAAACACTAGGTGCACCCTGTTTGAGAACTGAGACCGACGGGAGGATGTCAGGTTCATGTCATCCCATGACACATGCTCACTCTGCAGAACTGAGTGGAATGGTGGGTACAACCGCTCACACTACTACTGATTCCTTCTCCTCAGCACGCTCACCTTTCTGCTTGCTCAGCTGAGTCTAGGCAATTAATGAAGCAACGGCTCTACTACAAATGCAGTTCTAGGAGATCAAAATACCATGCTGTGCAGAAACACTGCTCAAACTAGCAGGGTTAGTTATGAGGCAATAAGGATTAAAGAGAATTAGGCCCACATTTCCAAGCAAAGCAGGTTTGTACTTTACAAAACCAAGGACTAAAGGCCAAAATAACGCTTTTCCTATTCTATCCCTTGATAGTAAATCCTGTTCTGTTTGCTGTACTCAGACTACAGTTGGTATGTGTGAGAATTTGCCTGTTTCATTCCAGAAAGGGAAGAGAAGGAAGAGGCTGTAATATGTCAGAGACATATGCCAAGAGAACAGTTAGGGAGGAAAGGACACAAGACACTTACACTCCTTATCTGAGGGATGCGGACAAGAGTCTGCTAGAAAAGAACAGAAAAGGAAACCTTTCTGCCTTCCAAAGCCAGACATTCTCGTTACTGTGCTGCAAGATTGGATAATGAAATATGAGAAGTGAAAGGCCCTTTGTTTTCTGCTCACTCAGGAATGTCCATGCAGGATGGAGACTGAAGAGCCGAGGCCAACCTTGAGAAGCGCACTGCTGCTCACGGCCGTGTCTCAGGATCAACCTGACAGCTTGGCCTCCGTTCAAGAAATCTGAATCATCTTCTCAGTTCAACACAAATGAGTCAGAGCCTAAAGAACAGGCCGAGGCCCTCAGAGTGAGACAAGTGCCGCAATGAGGCTTCATTAGCTGAATGAGAACTGCATCCAATTGTGCCAAACAAGCTGGTTGCCAAGAACAACAGAGGTCCACCGAGCACTCATGTATATGAGCCCACTTCCTCCTTCTGACAGCTCTGCAAGATCGGCATTATCTCCCTCCTCGTCTTGCATGAGGGGAAATAGGCACAGAGCCTAAGCCACACCACAGGTAAATAAATGGCAGGGGGAGGGCATGCTCCCACCTCTCTGGCTCCAGACATTACTCACTGCCTGCCAGACCATGTCTCCAACAAAAGGACAGATAACCTGGCATCCGCTGGGTGCTGAGGGTAGGCCAGGCCCTCTTCTAATTGCTTCACCTGAGGACCTCCCTTAACACTCACAATAACCACTCTGCAGGGCAGTGATGCAGACCAAAGTTCAATAACTAGGCTAACATCTACTCAACTCGGAGTTCAGGACCTAGTCATCATCCTGGAAGTGGTGCCTCCAGGACAGAACCGAGGCAGCAGTGCTCTGTAGCCCCTGCTCTACCGCGACACCAAGCTGCTGCCAGCATCTTGCCCAATCCCACAACCACAATGGAGGGAGCTGTTAACACCCTCATTTTGGAGGTAAGGGAACTGAAGCTCAGCAGACAATCTGAGGCAGAGGATGGGTTTGCGTCCAGTCCGGGTTCTTGACTATGACATACAGATCATTTATCAGATGGCCAGGCACCCCAGGAACCAGTGGGAACCTTTTCCCGTAAGGCAGCTAAGTGCCTTCTGGGTCACTGCAAAGGAGGTGACTGTTAACATCAAGGCCTCTCCCCATACAGCCCTGTTTCTCATGAGAGAAAGACTGCCTCCAACGTCCCCACCCTTGTGCCCTCAGGATGATGAGGTGGCATCCAAAGATCATAAACCCCAGTCCCCTGCCCTCACCATCCCCAACAATAAGTGAAACCATTGGCACTTACGCTTTAAATGCCGGGAGGTAGGAGTATATAGAAATGCTGCTTAGGTTATAAATAAATGGCAGGTGTTTTCTGATATCTGTTGTTGCCCAGCTGCTAAAAAACGTATTCAGTAAACCCTGGTCCCCACCTGAAAAAAAAAAAATGAATTACAGTCAAGGAAAAATCAATAATTCTACAGAAACATATAACTGGACCATTAAGAACGGGTACTAATTCCATTTTTGAAACAAGAAGTTCCAAGTTAAACCTACTATAGACATTTTAGGAGGCAGCCATTTCCCTGAGTTAATTCATTAGCTCAACAAATATTTAACGAGCAGCTACTATGTGCCAGACACTGTACCACACACTGGCGATCAACAGAGAAATGTTTACCGTGTTTATGACAGGGTAGGGGGCTGCGGAGTGCTGCCGCCTCAGTTCACGTCCTGAGGAGCCACTTCCAGGATGATTCCGAGGTCCTGAACTCTGTAGTTCAGTAGATGTTGGGCTAGTTATTGATATAATGATACCAGCAAATCAAGAGTCAATAAACATCACAGGTGGAATCAAAGCAGTGAAGAGAAGTACTGGGGGCTATGAGGTATGTGAAAACGGCTCAAGATCGCATCTGATGAGTCAGGAAAGGCCTCCAAGTTGTATATAAGCCAAGATCTGAGGGGTACACAGAAGTCATTGGCAAATCCAAGTGGAGAGGAGGCAGCCGGTGCTCCAGGCAGAATGAACAGCACACACCAGAAGGCCTGAGATGGGCAGGAACATGAAGCTATGGGAAGAAGACCTGGGAGGCGGCCTGTGTAAGTAGAAGGGGCTGCATGGCACCAGGTGGGTCTCAAGAGGTGGGCACAGACTAGACCACGCTGGGCTCAGATTTTAGATTCTATCCCCAGTTAGAGGCTTTCGACTATGCTAAGAGCAATGGGACAAGAAGTAAAAAGCCAAAGAGAACAAACTGGAATAATGGAAATGTTTTCTAGAGCCCTCAACTACTGGCTCATTGACAGAAGGACACACCAGCCTGGGCTGCATCCCTGCCAGGCACCAAGTGAGGATGATGACCATTCATTGAAAATAAATATAACACTAAAAATCTAAAGCTAAGTGTCTGACTTAAATCATAAACACACAAGTAACCAAACTGGTCACTAAGCTGCCTCAAAATACATTCTGCCTCTAGCCCATCTGCTTTTTTTAGGCTCAAGATTTCAAAAAACACACACAGAACTAGTCTTCCATGCAGAACAGCAGCCTGGGTGTGTGGATGTGTGTGTGCAAGTGTTTATTTGTGCGTGTGGTTTGTGTGGATGGGTGGATAGCTGGAGGGAGAACCCCCTCCTCTGAAGTAGGAGACTGGTACCCTGCCCAGTTACTTCCCTCCTTGGTCTGCTTTGCCCCGAGACCCAGTTTCTTTTCTAAACAGATAGCAGGTCCAATTGGTCGTCATCACTATTTGTATTTTCTTGTTAAAAGAGACTTAAAAATTCTGGAGATTTTAAAAAATATCTGGACCTCAGTAGTAAGATCAGGGCATTGGGTTTCAAGTCTAAATGTACCTTTTATCTGTCCTTTGTGTATCCCATCCTTTCCCAAATATCCTCAGTCAACTCTATGGATCAAAGGCAATCACTGAGTGAACGTCTATGGAGCAACCTTTCCATATAAGGAGCTATGACAGGTCCCCATTCCGCAGGGGAAAACCCAGGTTTCACTCTTCTAAGTTCTAAAGTACAATAAAGATGGCATCGGGTAATGCTTCATTTGCTACACAAACTAAAGAAATTTTAATTAAACGAATTAATCTATTTTGAGACACACAATATTAAAACCAAAACACCATACCTCAGAGGCTTACTTCAGAGTCTACAAAATATCCTATACATGGGCACAGACACTGGTGGTTGAGGTACAGAGGCCTGGAGTCTTACTGATTTGCCTTTATATATTATCATTGAAATAAAGGTTGAGGAAATGTTCATAGAGGCTTTATTCATAATAGTGGAAAACTGAAAACAGTCCAAACATCCTTCAACAAGTATATGAATGTGATATCTCTATACAATGGAATATTACTCAGCAATATAAAGGAACAAACTACTGACATTGCAACTTAGATGGATCTGAAGGGAATTGTGCTGAATGAAAAAAATCCAGTCGTGTGAAGTCACATACCATGATTGCATGTATATAACATCCTTCACATGACAGGATTATAAAGAATAGATTCGTGGTTGCTAGGGGTTAAAGGATGAGAGAGGGAAAGAGGCGGCCATGGCTACAAAAGGGTAGAAGGAGGGGTCATTGTGATGAAACTACTCTGTACCCTGACTGTGGTAGTGGTCACACCAATCTAGACATTTAGAATGACTGCATAGAAAACATACATGAACAACACTAGGGATCACATGCATAACTGGTGAACTCTGAATAAGGTTGGTGCATTGTATCAATATCAATTTCCTGGTTGTGGAACTATAGTTGTGCAATATGCTACCACTGGCAGAAACTCAGTGAAGGGTGTGTGGACTCCCTCTTCATTGTTTCTTACAACTGCATGTAAATCTAAATTCTCTAAAAATAAAAAGCTTTTCAAAAAAGAAAGCTGAGGGTCAATGTTAAGATACAAAATGCAATCAAGAATTGTTAGTCATTAGATTCTAAATTCCACAGGGACAGAGATCATGGCTCTTTTTTGCTTGCCACTGTAATGCCAGCACATAGCAGAATGCCTTACACATCGGTCAATTATTTGTGGAATGAATGCAAGAAAGCTGAAGATACTCTGTAATAGCAGAAAAGTTGAAACGACTTGACTATTCCACCATAGAGCAATGGCTATACACTCACACTGACCACTCCTGAGAATGTTATTCAGCCATTAAAGCCAATGGCTATAGAGACCACAAGTCTACCACATAAGCTATACAGTGATACACCTTTGGTTAAGAACATAAGCATTCATATTGGAAGAAAAGAAACAACAGTAACTGTGTGGAGGGGATCGGTGTTACAGATGTTCCTCCCCCGGCCCAACTTTACTTTGATATTTTTAGATTTTTAAAATATTAATGCAGTTAGGCAGAATGAGGATTGCGCTGAGATCTTTTCTAAGCATTCTTGTTCATTGATTTGTAAGGAAATGAGACACTATCAAAAAAATATATGTAGGTCATAAACCATATTTATTAGTAAATAAATTCTACATACCCAACATCCAATTTAAGAACTTGAATATTATCAATACTGTTTAAAATCTCTGCATGGGCTCGCTAATTCCATTTCACTGCCCCTTGTCCTGAAAGTAACTGCTAATAATGCGTTTTATTTTTAACCATCTTGATTTCCTTTATTTTACCATAGATAACGTATGTAGTCTCACTTGTTTTTGAACTTTGTGAAACTGGACATCATACTATGTATTTTTTCTACTAGTTTTTTTTTATGCCAAATCATAAGACCTTTTTTAAATTAAGTAATTCCACTTAAAATGTCTATTGCCTAAATGTAATGCAGTGAAGAAATCTAATTCCATGAAGGTCAGAATAGCAGTTGTAGAACAGAACTTCCCAATCTGAGAGGATGAGTCTGGGAAACAAGAGTCAGAGCTGTTGATCCCTCAGAGTCCCTGGCCAGCTGCCTCTGGCCACAAGAGGCCATTTCCATTTACCCTTAGGTACCCTGCAAACATCATCATCCATCAGCCGTATGCCACAGCAGGGCTGAGCAGCACTGGTGGGATGGGAAATAAGGAGAACAAGCAGGGAAGCAGACTTAAAAATCATTGGTGACCATTCAGCTGGCAAATCCTTAACCACTCAACAAGGACCTTACCTCCAGAGGAAACAGTACAGACCATGGACCCCCCAGGGCCACTAACCTCATTATGTGACTATGAAGGGTCACCTTTTTGCCAAAATTGTCGATTAAAAGTAGCATTAAATGCTACCTAGAAGGCTGTAGCTTCTTAAATAACTTTTTAAATTTAGCATTTTAACCCTTTTACCAAATGCATGATTCCAAATTCCACCTACCAAGGTCAAGCAAATGTTTTAACTTCATCTGACAATCTTTGTGTGATTTTATCAATATCCTCTCTTTAGACACCTCTAAATTAGAGCACAATTCAAAGCAGAATGTAAATCTAAGCACATCTGTGCTACAAAACATACAAGGATGCTGTGAAGACTGTAGAATTTTCACTACAGAAACCCCAGGACTTTTTGTCCAGTACGTTCTAGTCAGACTTCTTCAGGCAAGTGTATTTATTCTGACAGGTTAAGACACTTTTAATCTCATCATCTGAGAACCAACAAACATGATCAGCGGGCACTGCCAGCAGCTGTGATCAGCCAGGGCATGACAAAACAGGCGTGAGGTAGGAAATGGAATGAGGGACGCATGGCACCTGTTCTGCAAACAAAAGCAAATATCAGGTTCTGTATAACCCATCTACAAGGCTGCCCAAGTGCTGGTAATAACTTTATTTGGTATTTTCCAAGTCTTATAAACAGGGTCATGAATTTGGTAACCATGGACACATCACAGCATTTATCAGAAACTAGGCCTATTCTTTTCTAACAGAAGTGGAGTTGAGAACTACCTTTTAAATTTGTGCACTTTTTCAGTGTTTGTGTGCTTTCTGTAGTTTATTGGCAGCTGGCTTGCCTACTGTGGGTAGCATGGAGGGTGAGCTAATTCTAGTTTCAACATGAGCCTTAGTATCTCAGCCACAGGAAAGTTCCCCCAGAATCCTGCTATTCAAAGTGTGGTCCAGGTTCCAGAGGCATGAGCATCACCTGGGAGCTTGACGGAAATGCAGAATGGTAAACCCCACCCAACCCCTACAGAATCAGTATCCACATTTTAATCCCCAGGTGATTTGTTTGCATATTACAGTTTCAGAAGTATGGGTTTGGAATCTTCTAAAGACTCCATTTTTATTATATCAGAGTATACAACTCTCAAAAATGTCATTTCTATAGAAAATGTCTGAAGTTATATAAATTAGGAATAGGCATCAGAGCCAGGATGATGAATGAGATAGGTTCCAGTTCTCAAATGTTTCTTAATCTAGGGGCAGAGGAACAGACATCAAGCAAATAATTCAAAGTAAAATATGCTTAATACTGT